CTCCTTCCCTCGCCCCCAAGAGCACAGCCTGCACCTCCTTCCAGCTCCCGCATACTTTCTGCTGCTGTCTCTAGTCAGCCTTTCTCAAACAAGATTCCCTTCAATCTTAAGGTTTCTCCAGATGTTGCTTGGGGTCCCTTAAACAATGAGCAATTTCTTCCTCTCATATAAATTACTACTGGCACCAATGATCTTTTTAGCTCTCTGCAGGAGGGGATTCTTTCCACTGACCACCTACGTAAGAAGGATTATTCTTAATGACCATCATGCTAACATACAGTGAGTTGTAGATATAGTCATTATTATCAGGGGCTTCCTGAGACCGAAAAGTTATTTCAAGGGTTCCTCAGAGTTAAAAAGTTTGAGAAAAGCTGCTGTAGGGAGTTCACTGTCACCACTCCTGTAGTTTTATAATATTTTTATTCCTGAAATGAAGTTTTTATTTGCTTTTATATATTTTTTTTACTGTTTTGGCTGTAATTTAATTGACAGAGATAATACACCAGAACTACCGGTATGTGACCTGACTCTAATGATTTCAATTCAGATTCCAGTAGGAACAAATAAGAACCTTTAAGAAGTTTGTAGCCCGCAGAGGAAGCACTATATGCTAAAAGCATGGGGCCTCTCAACCTGCTGATTAATTAATGAGTTCATCTCTGTCTTCTCGTTCACTCAGGAACATCCCCACTGAGAGAAATGTAATCTTTTCTATGGGCTGCTACACAACTGGCAAGGGCAGCATTGCTGTTAACCTGTACTTTTATTGCTTGGAACGACTTTTTTTTTCAGTTTTAAAGTGAATGCTAATCTGAAAATACTAAAGCTTTATAGGAAATATTTATGACTTAAAATATATGTGAACCCTTGTTTCCTGTTGTTTTAATTAATCACATGACTTCTTTTCTCAGCTGCATTAGGGGCTTAGAGAGGTGGGAGTGGAGACTTCAGGGGCCGTGTCAGTAGGAGGCTGAGAAACAGTAGTACACACATCTTCCCAGTGAAGAGGTTTGTGTGTGTGTTTGGGTGGGGCGATGTCAGCACAAGTCTGACTACTGGATTACAGGCATGCTGTGTTCCCCAGTAGAATGCAATGAAGAAAACTGACCACTCTGGGATGGATATGCTTCTGCCCTGGCACGCTCAGTCTACAAAAGGAAACCAGGAGGAGTGGCAGGATCAAAGGCAGCAATACACAGAAAACAAAAAATACCTAAGTACATAGTAATACAGATACATATCAGGAATATAAAATATTGGGGTAACAAACACTTTATCACACATACAGTATGCATACTTTTTATTTCATACACTTTGAAAGTGCCACAGTATAAATTAAAAACAAGTGAAAAATGTAAGTGGCTTGATCTGCATTGATCGAGGTGAAAATTTGTAGTAGCAAAGTACAGTGGAAACTCCTGAAATTTCTCATTTTGAAAGTTAAATGGTAAAGGAACACAAAGAAAATCATATTTCTTAATGTCTAATCTTTGTTATGTCTTGCTAGTTGATTCAAAAATGCTAAACAAATAAATAAAACCATGTCTTATCAGATGCCTAACCTACACCTGTTATGAGAGAAGTATGGAACATGCTTTTCTTCATCTAAAAATACTTGTTGCTTGGCTGCCAATGCTAATTCAGTGTTTTCAGCAACATCTGAATCACAAGCTTGCAAGTCAAGACAGTGATTGTCAAATCAAAATGCTTTATCTTTATACATGTTTTCAATCTGTGACTCAGAGAATATTGAAGCCAAAGCGCCAGAATGACAGACAAGCCACTAACAGTTTCATAAAGAGAGGTCCACAATGGCAGCCTCTGTATCTCTCACTTGTGTACTCATATGAGAGATGCACTTCATAGAAGAATTCCAAGTATGTATATTTTATATATAAAGTACCATAAATAGGGAAAAGTGTGCCAAGATCCCACAAGGCATAGCTAACAAAACAATTCTATATGTGGAGGGATTTTTTGGTTGTGATCATTAATAGGTTAGTATCCACAGCACCAAAAAAATAGATAAAATCATGAAATGTTATTGTTCAATAATTTGTAAAACAACATAAAAGACATAAAACACTGACAAAAATATTTGGTCCTCATACAGGATGTGTATACAGTATCTCAATACTCTATATTCACATGACATCATAAATACCAACAGATCTAGTATAGTATTACTTTAATCTTGTGGATGACCCAATGCATTTTAAATAAACTCTTCCTCAGGGGATAGAGTGGATATCTGCAATGTTCAAACATACATCCAAGTCACTCTAAATCTATCACATGCATGTAAGGTGTATAAGATACCTTATACACCTTCATAAAGAATACAGAGTTTCAAGCTTAGTCAGCCATATATGTTAAAAACATTCATACACTGTCAGTCTCTCCTGTGGGGTTCACCACCACCCAGAAAGGCAGGGGTACACCTAAAGGGATGCCTGAGTGGTCCCTGTAGGTCACTGTGGGAGGTAATCAAATAAAGTGCTAGTCTGTTGTATTTTGCCCCATTTAGACAATTAGTCAGAATACCTTAGTAAACATTCGATTCATGGGACTCAGAATTGTCCTCGGGGCCCAGAGGGAAAACAAAGGACATGCAGCTAGTTTGCATGGCATTACAATATTTTCATAAAATGGGGGTAAAGATTCAGTTATAGCTGGGGAGTCATAAAATTAGCAAGTATCATCTATGGCCCTTCTATTGCAACATGCCAAAAGTATGTGTCACCTACCCATAGCATCACAGTCTGATTTAGCCAGATGGTATCAGGGTTTCTCTCAACACAGCATATGTGCAAATTTCCAAAATGGCCTCTAATATAAAGTTTGTGACCATGTGAGACTAGAAATCACATGACCATTTAGGCCAATAGATATCAGGTGTTTCTCTTACAACAGCGCCCATTGCTCTACTTCCACCGGGAAAGGAAGCGGAAGAACCCTCCTCCTTCATCTCTTCATCACTTCCGGGTTGTGGGTGATGTCACATCCAGTGTGGCAAATGCCCACATCCAGTGACATCACACCCAACGATGTCAGTGATGTGATTACCCCTTTCTACCCTTCCCAGGGAAGTGGAATTGAGACAAAGCCCCACCAGGTTGGAAAAGAACTGCCGACACTAGCGCCCTGCCGTACACACTGCAGCATCAGCCAAAGGGCATAGAAGCCCCCTGAGCAAAAAGCCTGAAAGGCTATGCAGTGCTTAGAACACATTACCCAACAGGCCATAGTTGCACCCACAAAGACCTTCTGTGATATCAAATTTGCTGTAAATACATAACATCACTTTAGTGTATAATAAATATATAGATAATATTCAACCTATTTATGCATATTATGAATCAAACCTGTAAATATACAGTACATATTCTGTATTGCTCAACTTTCAAGTTCTTTGACACAAAACTGGTCATCTCATTGAGACCTGGGGTACAGTTGCAGAAAGTTTGTAAATGCACCTTGCTTCACATTATAATATTTATTATTATTATTATTATACAGTATTTATAAAGCGGGCAATAGTTTGCTCAGCCCTGTACATTACAAAGGGGGACAGAACATGTGACAGAAACAATACCAATACAATGCAAAAACATGAGGGGATTGAGGGCCCTGCTCTTTGGAGCTTACAATCTAGGAGATTTTATCCTTTTATTCCGAATCCACAGGTGCCCTGGTGAACCCCATCTACGGCCACAAATCTTTACTTTAGGAACTATGTATTTGTGTATTTCTACAACATGTAAGTCTATGAGGGGACTAAATATCCCCAATCTCCATGGCATACACATGATTGTAAATATTCTCCATCACTCTTTGTTTAGCCGACATAGAAGTCCCTGCACAGGCATAGAAGTAAGTATATTCACACCCTTTGTTTTTGCAGTTAAAAAATTGTCGGGGAATGTATTCTGACTATCAGGTAGTGTTAGATTTTTTCCTGCAAATAAAGTCCACAATATCTAGAATGTTCTCATCCATGAATGCATGATATTTTACACAGGTCTCCTCTGGTTGTGCTCTCATAGGTGCTATGTATCAATTTGTCCCATATAGATGGGGCTCTTTTAAAGGTAATTTGCTGTAAGCAAATGCCAACATTTTGATATTAAAAATTTGATATATTGATTTGTGTATTTTGTAATAATTCTTGTCGTCTATTTGACAGCGTCAGTTCTTTTCCTTTGATACAACAAACCACAATGTTTTTTCCAAACATGCATGCGTACTTTCCTCAGACGTGCTACTGTATCAGTACTGTAAAATACATGTTTTTAGGGTTGCAGCTTCTAGTTGTTATGTCTCATAGGGAGAAATTGACTATACAGGATCTTTTTTCTTGTTTTATAAATTTTTTGTACAATAAAATTTGATGATTATATATTTGTTTGGTAGTATTGATACTAGCCTATTAACCTTTGCGCCTAAAAAAAATACCTTTTTGTTCTGTTACATATTTTATACATAGTACATAGTTACCTTGCTCCAGCCTGGACCAATGTAACTATCCATATACCATACCTGGCCGATCCCCATGAGAGCTGGAAATTATTGAAGTAACCAACGCTACTCCCCCAGTAATCTCTGTTAGCTCCTGGGTCCCATGCCGAGTAGCTGTCCTGCTGCATTCTGAACACAGGAGGTCAGCTATTCAGGATGGGTGCCATTCAGAGAATGCTTTGCATTGATCCATTCAAGGAATGTTTTGCATTGGTTCAGAAAATGCAAAGCCTGTGCAAAGCAGCAGACCTCCTGTGTTCAGGAAGCAGCAGAGAAGCCACTTGGCATGGGACAGAGAAGCAAGTGGAGATCACTAGAGTAGCGAAGTCTGCTTCAGTGATTTCCAGCTTCCAGGAGGATCAGCCAGGTATGGCATTTGCATAGTTACATTGGTCTAAGCTGTAACCATGTATAAAAAATCCATACCTGGAATTCTTCTTTAACCTCCCTGGCGGTATTTCCGAGTGTAGTTCTGGGTAAAGTTTCAGTACCAAAAGCGGTAACCCCGAGCTACACTCGGGCTTACCATGCGGCGTTGCTCAGGGATTCCCTGCAGTGCTTACCTTGTCCTTCGCTCCCGCGATGCGTCCCCTGCAGCGTCCCCGGCCATCTCCTCCGGCCGATGCCGGTATCCGGGTTCCATGTTCCAGTCCCTGCGAGCGTCGGGACGTTCGGTGGCGGGAACAGCGGCAAATTTAAACATTTTTTGAAACTGTCATTTTCTTAGAACTGAATTTGACATAGTAAAACATTTCTGTATCAAACCATTTCACATACATTCTGTCCCGAGTGCTTTGTCCTGTGCCCTGCCTGTATTTTTACTGTTCTTTCTGCCTGGAAACTTAGAAAAGTCCATGGCGTCCAAAAAGCGTCCCTTTTGGTCAAAAGCGGTTTTAGACCGGCTAGAGAACAGCGATAGTAAAATCAGAACCACTTGCAGAAATGAGTGATAATGATCCGTGGGGAAATTCGTTATCAGACACTGAAAATAATTTTGCGACTTTGCTCATCGATGTGTGAACTTGGCGCTATATTTAAAATGTCAGTGTTTTTGGTTTGATTATATTATTGAATTAAATGTATTATTATTATATTATTATTTTTTATGATTATTTATTAAATTATAATTTATGATTTCGTGTTTCAAGTTTTATCATATCCGGAATGTTTACTAGACTCTTGTTCAGACAGATTTCAGTGAGTTATTCCTAAAAATTACAGGCCTACAATAAAAAAATATATATTTCCATACAAAAAAAATGTACCACTTTCAGCACAGAAATATGGACATAATCAGACCGCTAGGGAGGTTAATGAATGATCAGTGCTTATAGCAAAATCTAACAGAAAATCCATATATTTATTAAGGAGAATTTCAGATTAATGTTTGAGCATATCACACCAATTTGCTAAAATGCATATTCTTGTTATTTGTCGCTGATCAAAAACAAAGCATGTGAAGATCAGGTGTCCTCTCACATCAATGGATACATGCTGGTTCTAGGTCAGTAGGTGGTAAGGAAAGTATGGGGATGGCAGCCCCAGAGCACTCAAATATAAGTGAAGCCAGTGATGACAGCTCCCCTATTTCCATCCTGACAAGTTCCGTTAACATACAACTATGTCCCCGACCTACAGTTCCTCCTATAATTTCAGAAATAGCTATATCAGCTCTAAGGTCTTCCAGGCATTTGATGGTACTTAATATGTTTTGTTGTTTATGATTGACTAACAACCCCCCCCTTAATGCAACCTCCTATCTTATGTTCTGGTAAAACTTGATTTTCTTGATATCCTCACCTCCTACCCAAATGACCAGTTCTGGAAAATACGTGTCTCACAATTTACAACCCTGTCTAAAAAGTTCATGGCTTCAGATTATAACACATGCAAAAACAGGTATGGTGTCAGTTAGAACTTTATCCTTGTTTTTTTCATATTAAAACACAATAACTAGAGATAAAATGAATGATCTGCTTTTCCTTCCCTGTACCAAGCAGGCTCATTGCATATACTGTATGTGTAGACGGGATTGTTACAATTAAATTGTCAGAATAATACTGCGATCATTTATTAATGTTTTTGGGGTCAAAGTTTGCATTTTGTTCATTGCAGTCATATCTATTTACCATCCGAATTAATGAGAAAAAGTGTATTTATTTTTGACCAATGTAATATATACTGTATCTTCCACATTTATTTACAGAAAATGTTGAAATGTATAAAGTAAACCAATAAACAGCACATGGGTATAAATACCAAATTACTAATAATCTGCTTTTACAGTAATAAAGTGGAGCATTTGATAAGCTATTAAGTAGAGTACAGCAATCAGGTAGAGTACACCATGCGGTCAATCTATTAGTATAATCCATGGCTTTCTGTTGGAATACAATGTTCATGTATTTTGTGCGACGACTACAACAGTATTCAGTAGAGATATACTCTTCAACCAGTAGATGGCAATGTTTATGTTTTTAGCTACATCTATGGTATACTCTATTTCTTTTCTCTGAATAAAGTTTCCTGTTTCCTTGTTGCAGTGAAGCCGAAAAACACATATGGACTGTCTGTTCTGTATGCTTATATACAGAATTTCTAACACTTTCATCCATTTTCTTTCTTCTCCTCCTACCCCGTTTGATGATGTCTTGATTGCTTAACATTGGATATGGGTCATTTTATACCAGGATGGTCATTCCTAATACAGTCATATGTCTTGCATCCAGCAGGTGCATTTGCACCATGGTGGAGACCGTCCAGAAATTCTTATATTCCTTAAACTAAGTTCCTGTTAGTTTTGATCTATGTTTTGATCTGCTTTTATATGCACATGTCATCAATGTAATTTTTATTGAAACAGTATAATTTAGCGTGTTTATAAAGCAGTGAATCTGACATTTCACCAAACAATTGCTGCAGGTAAATTTTCCAGATTCTTGTTAGAGCCTTTTCCCAACGCTGTTGTGTATCGTTGGACCTTGCTTTGTTTTTTATTACTGTCGTTTTTGATACGTATGTACTCTCCAGGCATCAGGATATGCACAGCCAAAAGGGAAGCCAAGGGTACCAGGACAGCGACAACCAAAGGAAATGTTTCCTCAGACGGGGAAATTTGGATAGAGAGAAAAACAGGTGTCATAGTGCATTATCCAAGGTGGGCGGGCAAGGTGTTCTCATGTCAGTGCGGTCAGCGTCAGCCATTTGACCGCACTGACAGTCACCTTGCCCGCCGTTGTGGCATTGTAATTTTTCTATGCTTTTTAGATACATGCTTCGTCTTGTGAGTATGTTTTTTATGATTTTAATTCCTACAATAAACCTTGGATAATGCACTAGGTGTGTGCGCCACCTTTTTCTCTCTGTCGTTTTTGAACTATCTTTGCCAAAGTGTTCTTTTTGACATTGTCATGTATTACCTTTTATATTTCAATAAATCAAGTCTTGGTTGGTAAAATCTTTGAGGTTCATGTGTTTAAATTACAATGAAGTGATTCAGCATGTTTGTGAAAGTCACATTTACTGCTTTGTAATTATGCCCAATAGTGATTTGTTTCTGTCGTGTGACCATACATCTCTTCTTCCTGATAGTGGAGGGTGGGGTTACAGGACACTGTGCAGACCTGCATTGTGTCTGTATTACATAGTCTGTTCAGCCTGAGGCAAGAGGCAGGCTGTGCCTGAGCAGTGGGCATGCTCAAGAGGATGGCTGTGCCTAGGAGTGGATGTGTGGCAGAGGAAGGCTGTGATTGGTCAGGGGGCATGGTGACAGAAGAAATTACCCAATGTAGGCATGCTGTGTGTCTGCACAGTGCCCTGTACCTATGAATAGCCAGCTAAAGGATGCAAACTGACCATGCAAGCACAGATCAGCTTTGGTACTTTTGGAGGAAAGATGATTGGCAGGATCAACCAGGTGCTTCAGATGGAAGAAGTACATGAAAATGATAGAGACTACAATTTATAAAATGCACATATGTGAGAAAAATATACAGGGTAACATAAACTTTAAAGAAGAACAAACAAGTATATATTGCCAATCCTTAGATGTGGTGGCTGCAGTAGTTTTCTTTGCTCAGTTTGTTTGCCTTCAGTTTCACCTGGTGATCCAGGAAGTAACACATTTCCTATCTTACAGTGTTTCCACTCTGGATGGAGGCACTGTTAGACAGAACTATTGGCAACCTGTGGAGAGGGTAGCAGCAAATGCACCAGCATATTTTGAAGGACTAACAAATTTAAATTTTTAAACAGTTACAATTTTTTCCCTTTTTTGTGATAAATATTTACATAAATAAATAAAAGCTGACTATTGTAAGTACCCCTGTCAGTGGTAAATGGTCTATCTCAATTCACTGACACTTTTGCTGGATAGCTTGGTCTATTAAAGGAACCTAAAAAATAACAAACTTACTGGTTGGATCAATGGGTTAAAATAAAGGGGAAAAAAAGTAAACACATGCAGCAACCACATCTAAGAATTGTTTATAACTGCTTTCATTTTCTTTATCCTCATGACTGAACCTGTGCTTTGCCTATGCTGAGCAAAGCAACAGGTTCACTTTATAGTTTGCCTCTGTAGCATCTAATACAGTGTTTCTCAACCGGGCAGCACCATTGTGGCGGATGTATATCCTCCCAATGGTGAATTCTATTTTCACCACACAGTGACAGTGAGTACTGCCAGGGTGCACTGATACCCCTTGCCTCCCTGTAGTGGTGCACTGATACCCCATGCCTCCCCTGTAGTCCCAGCTGCTGTGGACATCACTGCAAAGGGCAGAGCAGGACAAGAGTTGGCAGGGATCAGCGCACTGAGCCTGAGCAGCTCTGCAAGTTCAAGAAATTAAGTATTACTGCAGACCCCCTGTGCCCTGACCTGGTGACCCCCCTGTGCTTTGCCCTGGTTCCATCCCTGTGCCCTGAACTAGTGAACCCCTTATGCTCTGCCCTGGTGACCCTCCTGTGCTTTGCCCTGGTGACTCCCCTGTGCTCTGACCTGGTGACCCCCCATGTGTTTTGCCCTGGTGACCATGTTTTGTGCTTTGCCCTGACCTGGTGAACCTCCTGTGCCCTGACTTGGTGACTCCCCTGTGCCTTGACCTGATGACTTCCCTCTGCTCTGCCCTGGTGACCCCTGTGTTTTGCCCTGGTGACCACTCTGTGCTCTGTCCTAGTGACACCCCTGTGCCCTGACCTGGTGACTCTCCTGCGCCCTGACCTGTTGACTCCCCTATTCTCTGTTTTAGTGACACCACTGTGCTCTGTCCTTGTGACACCCCTGTGTTCTGACCTGATGAACCCCCTGTGCTCTGCCCTGGTGACCCCCCCTTGTTCCCTGACCTGGTGACTTCCCTGTGCTCTTGTCCTGGTGACACCCATGTGCCCTGACCTGGTGAACCCCGTGTTCTGACCTGGTGACCCCCCCCCCGTGCTCTGACCTAGTGACACCCCTGTGCTCTGCCCTGGTGACACCCCGGTGCCCTGACCTGGTGACACCCCTGTGTTCTTACTTGGTGACCTCCGGTGCGCTGCCCTGGTGACAACCTGTGTTTTGACCTGGTGACCCCCTGTGCTCTGCCCTGGTGACACCCCTTGCGTTCTGACCTAGTGACCCCTTGTGCTCTGCCCTGGTGACACCCCTGTGTTCTGACCTGGTTTTACCCCTGTGCCCTGACCTGCTGACCCCCCTGTGCTCTGCCCTAGTGACACCCCTGTGCCCTGACCTGCTGACCCCTGTGCTCTGTCCTGGTGACACCCCTGTTTAACTTCAGTTGAAGATGAAATTCATGTGTGCATATCCCAACTTTGATCCAGAATTGAGCATCTATGC